GGGGGGGGGGGCGTGCTTGACATTTAGGTTTCATGTGGTAATGGACGTTGACCTGATGGGGTCAGGCCTGCCAGCGAGGTAGGGAGAGGGGCCCATTCCTGCACACGGCCCCATCCCTGTAACGAGACACTGGCAAAACACGGTGGCGGACACACATGCATACACACACACACGCACAATCACTCATTCACTCAGCAGAAAGAAGAAGACAGAGGTACAGGCACAAGGCATCCCACAGGTTGGACCCCATAGAGACAGATGTGCAGTATGAATGTGCTGGCAAAATCACAGGCAGGTTACGTGTTTACATTTATGTCTGACGCTTGTTTTCGTATTTTTTTATATCTGTGTAGGTGCGCATTGATTCCTACAACCATGGCAACAGCAGCTTGCCTATAGTACCGGGGAGGCAGAACAGTGGTAGTGCTCTGTGTTCACCCACAACTCGGCAACAGGAGGCTACTTTATATACTGTTTGTGACAGCTTTGTGGTAATAATGGAGCCCAGGCCCCCGCTAGTGCAAGTGGCATGCTCAGTCAAGTGAGACTTTGCCTAAGAGAACACACATACACACACCAGGCAGCCTCCTTCACGCCTAATGAGACCATTGGGAGAGTGGAGAGCAGGAGGCAGGGAGAGGGAGATGAGTAGAGAGAGGAGAGAGAGAGAGAGGATGGGAAATAAAGGAAGAGCAAGGTAAAAGGAGTGGAACAGCGATAATAGAAGAAGGGAGTAAGAAGAAGACGAATACACAGAGAGGCAGGGAGACCAACTGCTCCAACGTTCAAGGTTTGGGATTGGGAAGAAGTGAAGGGGGGGTGGAGGTGGGAGAAAAGGAGTGATGACCTGGATTGCTGCCAAAGAAGCAAGGAAGATGGGGGGGGTGTCAGAAAAAGAGGAATGAGAGTGTGTGTGTGTGTGTGCGAGAGAAAGAGAAAGAGGGAGGGAGCAGAGGTACACTTCTAGGCTTAGCAGCGGGTGGTTATGCAATGTACACAACACAGGAGTGCAGGGGGGATCAAACACATGGGGTGCATACATAACTAAATCTGACACCGGAGTGCAACAAGAGTTGATGAGCAAGAGAAAAAAACAGGCAAAACAACACTAACATATAAAGCGAACAGACGTTCCCTGGGGACGGAGGGAGGGAGAACGAGTACATTGGGTACTGGGTACACATCATTTTTGAGTAACAATGGAGGAGAAAGACAATGACAGATAAAAACAAGCTATAAAAAAAAAAAGATAAAAATATATACCGGTATATATGTCAGAACTGTCTTCTCTACCTCTGCCTCTGGCGCTACAGCATCATCTGCTCATCCAGGCAGGTGCACATCGCAGGGGGGCGGGGGGGGTAAGTGAGTAAATAACTCGTAGTCCAAAATGGGAAAAGGCTTAAATGTCCGGTGACAAGGAATACGGACAGACAGGCACAGCTGAGCCTTTGCTTTTGCTTCCAGGGAAAGCGGGGCATGAATTATTAACAGGCGCTCGGTCTAATGAAGTGAAGATGAGCCACTTGGCTCCATGCTCATCAGAGCAGACAACCATGTTTGTTTGGACTACAGTGCTCAGGCCCCACAGCAGGTTATAGTGTCAACAAGTGACATGTCACCTACACCACTGCCATAAACATCGCTCTGGTTATCAAGGAAAAGACTCTCGTATTGGGCTGCGTGTTGATTTTTGGATTCACTGCACACCTCTGTCTCTCCTCTGTCGACACCATGCTCAGTGGCAATGTCAGTCATGCATTTAATGGATTTTAGTGCAGTTGTGATCACATAAAGAAGAACTACAAAAAAAAGAGGAAAAAATGTGTTGCACACATTTTTTTCTCAGCCGGTTTCTACCCATCAGCAGAGCCTCAGCTGACTTTTTGACCACAAGTTTATTGCATATGTAGCTGGAGCGTGGGGCAGTTTACCCCTTCCTCCTGATGTGAGTATGGCACCGAGAAGGAAACATAAGCGAGTACTATGGTACAGTCCGTACTTCACGTGAAGAGCTAGAAGAGAAAGCTCAAAAAATCAACTTCCGCTATATTTATATTTATCTTTGTTTAATAT